GCATAATCGTCGTTTGTTCGCTCATCAATGAAATGGAAGTGACTGTGAGAATAAATAACTTCTGGTTTTTGCCAATAAAATTAACATCTCCTCGTATACTTACAATTGGATCAAAAATAAAATTCATACAGTTTTTGTCCGCGACTTCGCCTATATAGGTATATTTTTTGTATAATTTAATGTTTCAATGGTTGTCATGTTACAAAAGTTTATATAGCTCTTCAGAACTGATAGTTAATTAAAGAAAGTTTTCGCACTTAGTTAATGTTTTGAACTATTTCTTATAATACGATTTTCATTTATTTGAAAACTCGAAGTAGGATCAAATTAATACGTTGCATTTATTTAAGAAGAATTTAATCAATAATATTTGAAATAATACGTACCAGTCGCTTCCGAAGTATACTTCTCTTTGGCATCTGTGTCGAGGAATAAATTATTCTGTACATTTTTAACCATCTTATTGTGATGGCAGTCAAAACTAAACTACTAAACAAGTAGGTTAGGGTTAGAATGTTCTTAAATACTATTTTCTATACATACTATCTGCAAATAAACTGTATTCATGTAAGGACTATTTGAAACTCCCAGAAATTATATAAGTTTTATTATAATCTTCGCACGCGCTTTAAAATTTTGTACAAATATCGATAGGTTTTGAATTCATTATGACAATAATATTCTATTTTTGCGAATACAAGTTTTTTTTTTTTTTTTTTTATGTCAAAGGTGGCAAACGAACCGACGGCCCACTTGATGGAAGGTGGTTACCGTCGCCCATGGACATCCGGAACATCTTTGTTTCGGATGCGTTGCCAACTTTGTTTTTTACGGATAGGGAGGGGTGGGAATAAGGAAATGTAGGAAAGGGAGGGAATAGGGAAAGGGCAACCGGCTCTCTCACTCATCGGACGAAACGCAGCCTTTAAAGACTACTTCACGCCGATCTTCTGTGAGAGGGTGGTACTTCCCCGGTCGAGCCAACCCATGTTCGAGCTATAGTAATTGACTACAGCTAGGCTCTACCACCTTCAAAAGTACAAGTATTTTTATAATTCTTAATTTCCTCCATTTATATTAAACTTGCTTTTTGTGTACCTTTTTTTGTATGTCAAGAATAATATTGTCAGTATCTCTAAAACTATAACTATAGATAATGAATGAATTATGAAATTATGTAAAAAAAATATAAAATAGAATTGTTTAACGATCCAAAAAGTTTGAGTTTAAACAGCTAAGTATATTAGAAATATGCAATATGTATAAAAGGTGGGAAATTAGCTGAACTCCTCATTTTCCACTCCTCGGGGAGTCGTGTTATTAATTTTACTCCATCCTCCCATTATTGATGGTCCATTAATTTCCTTTACAACCGTACCATCAATCTTCTTCAAACATTTAAAACGCATTCAATACGTGTTATCTATAATAATTATATCTGTGACTTCCTCTTACATACTCTACCGGTAATTAATACAAATACTTACTTGGACAATTTAAATATATCACAACTGAGAAATAAACTTTGTCTGTCTGTTGTTTTTTTTACTGTAGCAACTGTATGATTTTAATGGGATTTGGAGAAATCCGAATGAATAAAGGTAGAACCGCGGTAAAAGGTTAGTGATTGAAAATTGTTATGTATATTTTATTCGTATACACAAAGAACATTATCATTCATTTGAATTAGAATTTTTATTTATTTCTACTTCATGTTAATTCCATAGTATAAATTTTTATAAAAATCTTTTTGTAGATAATACTGTGGTTCAAAATCTCAATTGAAACAAGTTTAATCCAATGCTTTCCTTTCGATTGTAAATTGTATTAATTACGACTAATGGATGCATCTCATTTACATTATATTAAGACGTGGAGTGTTCTTATAATATACGATTCATTATCAGTCAATTCAGTTCTTAATGCAACATACAATTGATCATATCCTAACATGATCACAAAAAAAATAATTAAGGATCCAAAATTTAGTGACCAGATAATTACCGCAGCTTTGCAAATCATGTGGGTATTGTGACGTCATAAACAAATCTATTTATCCATCCATCAGATTATATATCCGTCAGTTTTGAAACCTCTTAACTTAAGATGAACTTACTTTCAATCCTTAGTCGTATTCCACCAGATCGGAATTTGGCCATACAGGTATATAGAACCTACACTATAGTCTGCTTAAAACAGATGATTTTGTCAATTTTTAATCAATTATTTATTATATAATGTTACTGAACCAATATGCTTTTAAATCTTGATCCATTTATAGTACATACATATATGTTATACATACAATAATGGCACATATGTAATAATCCGCTCGGAATTCTTCATTATTTTGTTTTTCGTAGCAATTATAATATTAATAGATTTAAGTGCATCCATTGGTTTTTATTTTTGTAACAACACCTACGTCCTACGTTTAGTGATTAATCGAAATAGTTTTCGATTTCCGTTCATAAACCGGTATCTGTGTTTCGTAATTTACGATTGTTAATTATTTAATATCTTCTGTTATTCCAGAAACGCTCTGTTTTGATCTTTTGGTGTCCGACATACATATACTTAGATTATTTATTAAAATTATTCCAAAATAACAGAGCTTTAGTTCCTTTAAATTATCTTTATTTACTAGTAAAGAATTTTCACTCCAATATTTTAGTCATACTGTTCTTCAAACACTTAGAATTCACTGTAATTATCCGACTATAGATAAGAAACTATTTAACATTTCTACCGTATGTCAATACATAGAAAAACTAATTAACGAAAATACTGAGGACAAAAAATATGCTAATTAATATAGCTTCAATAGCTTTGAATGATTAAGTTTGATAATTACTTCGTGAATTCAAAAGAATAAGTAACAAACGTAGCATTTATTACTGAACGCTGATACATGTATGAGGAAATCCTATGCTGGTTCATACAATTTGTATTTTTAACGAAAACAATGTTAGGTCTTAGTCAGAAAGGATAAGAATGACGTCAGTTTTATGTTCATACTATTAGAATATAAAGCTACTACTAGGTACCTACTACGTACCTACGTTCGTACTATTTTAATATAAAGTACATATTAGAATATAAAATAACCTTTATTCCCTACGATATAAGGCCTAGAAGTTGTATAAGTATAGTTTAATGTATGTGCAGGTCATATAGGATAATAGATTATGATAATTTCAAACGAAAAACCTATTATATTGTTTTTAATTTTATTATCTATACATATAAAAGGAAGTTGTATTAGTTACACTATTTATAACTCTAGAACGGCTGTAGGGATACATTTGAAAAATTATCTATTAAACAGTTTAGTACTAGAAAACGGACTTAGGATTAGGTTCGATCGAAACGGAAAAAAACTTAGTAAACACCAATAGTGAGGGCGGAATAGAGTTCTCCCGGTCAGCTATACATATATATCTAATACCGAATTTAACGCGGACGAAGTCGCGGGCAAAAACTAGTTTAATATATAATATTGTCATCAAGACTTATTAGTCTTAAATGTATAACCAAACGAACTTATAGCGCCCAATGTTTGTAAGCGTCAGACGTGATACATGTATGTAGCTAGTGTGTTTAAATGAAGTTAAGTCACAATATGTACTGTGTACAGACACAGTGTGTTCTGGTTCGGTTTTATTTGTTATTGTTAACGGGATGATCCGGTTTTAACAGGTTATTGTCACCTTTATGAAAGCTCGCTTTATTTCAACATGTAACAAGAACTCGTTACTTTTAAGTAGACATAATGTTATGAAAAATATTCAGTAATTTTATATCTTAATATTATGTATTCGATTTTTATCGTTATAAAACATTTTATTATATATTTTTCTAATTTCAAATGTACTTACATTTAAATGTAAATATTATATTCTTGAAAGAAATGTACTAGCAAACCTGAAATATCCGTCAGAGGACATCCGCGGTCAAAAACCAGTTGATGTACCTAGTTAGTTCATAGACCCCATCACTATAATTATTGTAAGCAGATTTCAATCTATTTCCTCCAGTTAAGTTGAGCTGAGGCAAAAACTTCTGCCGAGTCACCTCTGGTTATTAAACCTAAGGCTTCTGAGTGAGGCGGTTATTGAAGGTTCCATTCTAGAAGTAAACTTCAGTATTAACTGATTAATGTATGTAAGTTTATTGAAAAATGCATTCTAATTATTATTATGCATAATAATTTGTATATTTTTTTGTCTATGTAAACTTTTTTGATTAATATATATCAATATAAATCTTCCTAATATAACAAATTTTATTTCTTTATTAGATCTTATTACGTGTAAGTTAGTTCTGCTTTAGTCACAATTTCAGTAGAGAAGGCCCCATACTGAACTTAAACATGTCAATAATTCAATAACAAATTTCTAGTTGACTATAACTGATTACACAATACTCTTGGTAAATTATTGGCTACAGCTTATTTTAAACCTCCACATTTTTTCAGCAGTCACATGTCATGTGTTTGAGTGAAAAGGAATTAATTCGAATTATTCAAGTAATTTAACTTTAGCTCGACAGTCGAAGCTGGTGTACCCCTAGAGGAATTTTTTTTTAATTCCGTCAGTTACCACCTTTCACAAAGGTATTAAACGTCTTTCATAAAAGATCTATGGAAAACTTTTACCAAAATTATTAATGATCTTCCTAATATGTCCCAGTAAAGTCAACATTTATTCTTAACTACACTTTAATAAAAAAACAAGTTACAATCAGCACAAAAATAAATACAAGAATAAACTGTCCATTATATTTTACCTCATGGTGGATGGCGTGGAGTTTTTATAAGGCCACCTTTTGTTGCCAAATATTTTTTTGTCTTTTCCAGTCGTAATAAATAATAATCGTAATTTGTTTTTTTATAAACCACAACGACATCAAGCGTTGTTACTGTTTGTCATCATCATCACTATTTCGGTCTTACAATAATCATATTCAGCCTTCATTGGACTTGAAATAAGTGTTCAAAACTGTCGATTTTCGATGATGAGACCGAAGAGATTAACTTGAATATTTGTTTCAGACGAAACCATCAATGGCCTGAAAGTATGTTCCGCACGGCGTCTGTCGAGGGGTCCGGGGTTCGGACGCCGCCCGCGTACGTCCCGCACCCCCCTTACCCTCCGCCCCGCTTCTACCCCCCTCGCATCCGACCCCCTCCCCCGCAGTACTGCTTCGACGCTGCTCGCTTCGCATGTGACGCTTCCAAACCCAGATACCTGGATGTTGAACGGGAGAGACTCGTCACCAGGTGGTTGGCCGAAGCCAACGAGGCCCTGGTCCGTAGGGATCGCCCTCCGCGCTACAAGCCGAGGAGCAGCGAGCGAAGGCCTGACTTCCTAGATCGAAGGCCCAACGCTCCGGAATGGGCTGACAATTTTCTCCTCGGAAGACGGAACGGTTCCGTCGAGCCTGAAGAAGAGAGTAGTGATGTGATGACGCTTAAGGATTTCGTAGATAAGTTTTCCTTGCCTCGTGTCGTGAGGTTTGAAGGAGAGGATAGGGCTGTGCTTCTATATCGGGTGTTGGAAGCCCACCGCAGGGTCGAGGCGGTGCCTCTATCAGGGAAGAAGGGCAAGTTGGTTGGGAAGCCGCTGTACATCCCTGATTCATACGACGGTGAGTACTCATTCATTTTTCGTTCAATGTAAACCCTTTATTCTATTTGTGATACACACGTGTGATGTAATCGTGACGATTAATATAGTAAGCCAGTTAAGTAACCTTCGTTTGTGTACAAACAAAAGACATTACGTGGTTGTCATTGTGTTACACACAGCGGTTGAATCTTTGTTAGCCATTAAAGATGAATAATTGTTTTATATACAATATAATTAACGACCAAACTTCTTTAAATTAATCATTGTTATTAATATACTCACTGATATGATTATTACATAGGTGCAAAATACTATTTAGTACTATATATATATACATATTTAAGTCATTCACACCACAAAACATACATAATTTAACAACGGAAATTAAATGTATAATAATCTCTTCTAAATATCAAGCAGCCATTTTCTATAAATCGTGAGATTAATGGAATATATTCACTGATAGGGATTCCATAATGCATTTAACATCAGCGTATAAGGTCGCGCGGGTCACTGGGTGTTGCTTAAATCGGGTCATTATTGGTACGGCTGGTAACTAGTAGCAGTGGGTCACGATACAGAAATATGTTTCCTTTATATAACACGGTGACAATACCAACCTGCACATTAAACTATTACATAACAAAACATAATCGTCTGGCCTAAATGCCTAAACGGTCGGAAACTGTTGACTTAGCATAAATATAGCGGGCGGTTTCGTAATCTATTATGTGGACATAAGAGTGAATATGGCGTGAAATTATTAGAAAATTATGATGCACGTATTGTTCATGTAAACACTGAATGATGGTTCTAATGATGGATGGTGTTTATGTTAATAAACAGAGAGACGGACATACATTACACATATTACCAAATATCATACGTAGGTACATATATCAGTAGTCGTGTACACATATTTGAAGGGGTGGCAGTTGATCAATGTAAATAACTGAGGATTCCGAACTATTTTAACAGAAAATTCTCATTGAAGAAAAGGCATTAAAGAAAAACCTATGAGTAATAGTCAATCTTTAAGGGGACAATAGTTGTATAGCGAGCCATTTTAGCACATAATGGGTCGTAATAAAAACTATTATGGTATACATTGTAAAGACTTCGTGCTTAGTATGAGGATGTATTGTAGACCTATAAACGAACCGTTTCAAGGTTTTTCGTAAAAAAAAATCCATTAGATTCATATAATAACAATGACAGATCCTTGCATTATGACCACTGATAGCTAGTACACGTGGAACAAGAAATAGTTTATATGCTCTTAATTTAACATTTATAATATAATAAAAAATTATTTGTAGAGAAAGCTTCGGTAATTATAATTAATATAGATATGTCTTAAAAAACTTTTGGTATAATAAATCGATATTAGCATAATTATGTTAATTTATTTAATATATGATTGACGTGGAATTGAAATCACTAAAGTTAACATGTACAATAAGTTTACAAGATATAAAGAAAACTAATATATTTTTTGGTTTACTAAGCATTTTAACTAGACCCTCCCAACATTTCGGGTACTTTACAGCAACCGTGATCACGTCAGACGAGATGAGAATAAAATAACTCGTAGCAATCCGAAAATATTATGTAGTTTCATTCAGAGTACTATAATTGCTCGTAATAAACCTTGGATATGTTTAAATGTAGTACATGTTAATACGTTTAAACTAAAATACATTTACAAAAAAAAAAATCTTTATATTAAAACACTTCAAAGAATCAATATAATTATATAGGTTCATATACTTCTTCATCTTAACTTAGCTTACTCTAACCACATGTATATCAAATAAACTTAGACAGAACTTATGTTTGTGTGTGTGTTATATCAATATATATTATCACTACACATACACATATAAGAATACTTCTTTCAAACAAAACATTGAACTGCTTAATATAATGACACTCAATTATTTGTGTGATGCAAGGTCACTCGGTTAATAGGATTTGATTGATAATTATTATTATCTATTGATATATACGTACTTAGGTACTCGTAACTTATTCAAGAACTTATGTATATACATATAATTCTTTTGCCTTAAAAGTGCTTTAGTATATTTTTTGTAAAATGACTGTATAAGAATATTCAATAGCTTCTTTGAAGGCGGATTATTTTTAATATTCCCGTGTTGCTAGTGCAATGAAAATTCATTTTAGATATCCATTATCTCGTAATAATAAGTCACCTTACCCGTAAATGTGTTTTCTATGATGGCAATCTTTCTTATGATAAATAATACGTGGCTCAAAGTAAATAAAAGCTGTACAGTTCATAATATCAAGCAATCTTGGGTCATAACAGTATCAATAGAGTAATGGGGAGTAATTTTATGGTCATCCAACGTTGGAATCGACGTCCCATTAGGGTACGCCAAACATGGACTAGGGTCGTTGTACTCTACTGTTTGGATCAACGAGACCAATTTAGATATGACAGGGAAATATTTGCGGGATATACATAAAGATTGGTAATGATTTTTATAATTACGTTAAGTAAGAAGTGGTATTTAGGCTCTGAAAGACATTCATATCAATTTTTAAGACAATGCTATAAAACTATTGGCAATTATAATATACTCGTAAGGTGTATTTTGTCATACGGCCCATAGATCGCCGTTTGAAGGACAAAGGAATGTATGGTTGGTAACACACAATATTCTATTATAAAGTCCATAATAAATGCATTGATCACAATCGCAATCACAAGCTTCCGAGACACGGCCATGTATGGTCCACGTAATGGGACGAGACTCCCACGCGTGGGCCAAGGTCTCCGAATCCTCGGAACGGGTAATTTATTTGTCAAAATTGTTATTTACGATTACAGAACATTGTCGAGACGAAAAGTGTGATTCAAGTATAATGTTGCTATTAATATTTTTTTTGCTATTTTTCCTCAATTAGAATTGTATTACGCATAAATTGTATTTTGCTGGTATTTTTTCGTTCTCTTGTTATTAAAATCATGTATTGGTTATGTCTACAATAGACTCATCAGTAATATATTTATAACGGAAATGTTCTGTCTCTGTTATATTTTTTTTATTATTTCTATATTCCCGTCGCGTCCTATATTGTGTAGGTCGTCCGATTGTTGATTGCAAATGAGCTCAATGAATCAGAAGACGCCAGTTCTGCCGCGTTCTGCTTGAATACTTTAATGAGGACATCACTAATTATATATGTACAATTGTCCAAGAATATTATGTGTTATGTATAAGAATTAAACTGATTAAAATTACAAATTAAATCATTTGTGCATATAAGTGGATAATGAAGTTATTATATGAGTAAAGTTCATTTAAAGACTTATGAGTTATGACTTATGAAGCGTTAAATGCAGTATTAGTGAGCAGAGGTGTGAATTACACGTGTTAAGTAAGTCTATACATCGTTATGTACTAGGACTCGTACGCATAGCCTAAGTTTGAATCTTCAAACTATAGACAGGGCTTTTTTCGTTTCTTATTCTTTTATTATTTTAATTACAACCTTGTTAGTAGAAACTAAGTACGTGAGATAAAATATTCAATGAAGAATATTTTTGGTGTATATATAATAATTTATTTACCTATTATTATAATTTATATAAGATACATATGTGTTTGAAAGAAAATGTTTGTATTATTTTAATTTTGCTTGTTTGTTACCAATTCCACCAGATTCTTAATATCAAATTATATGATAAGAAATTTTGTTTTGGCTATATTAATATCCACCTAAAAGTTACTAGGGAAATACTTAAATAAGATCAATGAATTTGTCCTTTATATTGAATGATATTCTTATAAGGCTTGATGTACAACGATCCTTTCTTTCTAAAATCTAATAACCTTCGTAGTTTACGTGTCCATTGTTATATTACCTAAACACGATACTTAATGCTCGGGTCAGGGTCGGAAGACAATGTTTGGAAGTACGCTCGTCAGTGGGAACTCGGCTTTATACCTACTTCCCGACATTGAGGTGATAAAGAAACCTATTAACAAATATAAACTTCAAATAAGTATGAGTAATGTAATATTGTTCACATAGACCTGTCTTATCTATATACATATATAAAACAGATTTCCACCTATATATTGACTCATCACGATATCTCTGGAACCATAAGGCGTAGAAAATTGAAATTTGGTAGGATTATTCATTTCGCCGAGTAGAGGTTAGCTAAGAACGGATTTTACGAAATTCCACCCACAAGGGGGGTTGCGGCGTCGTTAACAATGGAAAATACGCTTTCACGCCTAAGCCACTGCGAGCCACTGAACTGATTTTAATGAATTTTGGTACAAACATAGAGTAGACCTTGAGAAAGAATATAGGATAGTTTTTATCCCAGACTTTTGAAAAGTTCTCTTGGAAACGCGATATAACCGAACTTAACGCAGGCGAAGCTGCCGGCGGAAAGCTAGTACATATATAAAATTCTCGTGTCGCGATGTTAGATAGAGAACTCCTCCGAAATTTCGTGAGAATATTGAGTAGGTCTGAGAATCGACCAACATCTATGTTTCATACCTTTAAGTCATAAGGGTTCATACTTTTTTTTTCGGACCAAATTTTTATTTTATTTTTCTATATGGTAGCATTAAAAATACATACAACCTAAAATTTTTAACGTTTTTATCACCAACCCTATTTTTGTATACGGAAAAAACAACGTTTGCCAGCTAGTATACATATATGTATGTATATATTTAAATCTGTTTCACACTCTGGTTTGGTTCGATATTTACCAAAAAAGAAGATTATTATAGTAATATTAGAAAAGTTTTTGATAAGAACATCTGGTAACAAACAATGAATCTTAATTAATTAATTTATTTTAGCTACGATCAATTTCGTCTCACAAAATATACTGTAAACTATCGTAGGATAGTGTAAATTTTTCGGGACTCGTGCGTAGTGAGCGGAAGTATGGCTTGCCGTTCCCGCTCACTAGTCTACGCACAGCGCAGAGAACGCCGAGGAGTTTAGTGGGTGGAAATC